AGCAAAGCAAAAAAAAAAATTCAAGCATCTATTTGTGTATGCAGTCAGTTGTGACAGCAACATACTGCATTACCAGCAGGGGCCTGGTCCTGGCCTCCTGCTCCACACTGGGTTTCATTTTCCTCCTGGGTAGTTCCCTAGATAACCCTCCTGTCAGGATTCAACTCCCTCCAAAAGCAGCCAGGGATGAAATGTCCAGATGCTGGAAGGAAGAGACATGATAAAATACCCGCAGAACCTAGGCACACATGTCTACCTTTGTACAGAGTACCATGTGGACCTCAACACGTGAGGGCTTCCAGTATTCCTGCTGTGTCTCACTTCCAATTGTTCATACGCAGAATATCTCACCCAGTATGTTATGGTACACAACTGAAGTTTAATAAATGATGATTTTGGTGATAAGAATGCTGAGTATAAAGATTCTAACTCTGAATGAATAAGGAAGGCCATTTATAACTATCATTCAGAATAAGCTTCCTCTCAGGGGGAGAATTATTTTAATAGAGGTTGTACTTGCTGGGAACAAGAGCCACAGGCAGTGCCCCCTGCCTTTTGGTGGTACTATTCTGGTCATTTTAGTGAACCTCAAAATTAAGTCTACGGCTCATGAATCTAGCTTCATTTCATCAAGAGCATTGATTCTAATAATCCTAGAAAACAGTTAAGAACTACAAGTCAAAAGTACAGCAAGGAAAACAAATCAGATCCAGTAACTATATGCAAGAGGCTATTTGCCAAGCTCACCGCATTAGCCCTTTGGTGTATAAATGCTAAGTGCTCTACGTTTCCTGTACTGGAGTAACTCAGGCAGTTTTCTTCTTTGCAATTTCAAACCACATATTTCTCCCCAGTAGATTCCAGTGGGAGGAGAGGGAGGAACACATAGAAGTTGCAGGATTCCTTCTATTGACTAGTAGCACCAATTATTACTGCCACAAAAACATAATGCCACTGTTTTCATCACTGTGTCACCATTGCATTATCCTTACCCAACTATCTCCCAGGAGAAAATGCTGATGTCTTTTTTCAAAAACATTTCAAGTACTCTTTCTGAGCCTTCGGAAACAGCTATCAAACTGAGCAGCCCAAAGTGGTGGGAATGGTGAGAAGGGGGACAAGGTGAGGTGTCCAGAGAAAAATAGCTGTGTCCCATAAGAATAATGAGAACAGTATGCAAAGGGCAGAAATGAGATGCCTAATCAATAAAGGCATCTCAATCATGGATACCAATAAGACTCAGAGATAAACATCAGGAAATGTATAATTCACCCTCCCTACAGGAATGTTGTATATAGGACTTAATATGCTTCCATCTGACCCCAGGACACAGGGCATTGCTCAGACTCCACGTGGAAATGGAAAGCTGGGCAGTTGCCTGGGTTGAAAGAACAGAATGTTCTTCACTGCACTGTCATTCAGCTTCCAGGAATGCTGCATTTCAGTGGTGAGTAGTCATTCTGTGAAAAAGTTCATCACAATCACATTAGAGAGAATGTCCAAGTATGCTAATGTTTCAAGAGATGCCATTTAGTTGAAATCTGTGTCTTGCCTTCATGCTACATCACAGTGAAGAGAGAGGAAGTTAATATGTATAAGAAAAGATGGTTCTAGTTTTCCAGATGACTACATATCGAATCAAACTTTACTGGTATAAAACAATAAAGAGTTTACTTGGAGTTAGATCTCTGTCTTGGTTTTTGTAAGTTCTAGGCTTCCCAGGGTAACTGCTTTATTAATGAGATTTTTATCTTTAGTTTCACAGGGCAAGTATCTTTCTAAGGGTGCTGTGTGTCTTCTTGAATTGACTGGTATCAAGTAACGAGATAAAATTTCTCCGCTTTAAAATGATCGTGTAGGACAAAGTTTTGATGCGTGTCTTTATTGTTAAATTGTATTAAAAATTGGCCAGGCATGGCTCATGCCTGTAATCCCAGCATTTTGGGAGTCCAAGAGGGGCAGACCACTTGAGGCCAGGAGCTCAAGACCAGCCTGGCCAACATGGCAAAACCCTGTCTCTATTAAAAATACAAAAAATAGCCAGGCATGGTGATATGCACCTGTAATTCTAGCTAGTCAGGAGGCTGAGGCACGAGAATCACTTGAATCCAGGAGGCGGAGGCTGCAGTGAGCCAAGATCGTGCCACTGCACTCCAACCTGGGTGACAAGTGAGACTCCACCTCAAGAAAGAAAGAAATATAAATAAATAAATAAATAGTACTAAAATTGTATAACTATCAGGACTTTGTAATAAAATACAGGTTTACGTTTACAAATCAACTTAATTATAAAAGTTTTTTTACTCTTACCAGTTTTACTATTGTCTATTCAGAATATAACTACCCTTCTCCTAAGATGTATACATAACTTTAACAACTCAGCATTGTAAAGTCCAAGGGAAAGAACAACTTTCAAGTCATCAGCCAGAACAGTCAGCAGATAACTCCAACGCCCTGTCAGGCTATTCTTCACACACAGGTTGCCAAATGGAAACACACTTTATGGTGCCGCCTGGACATACTTCTTCCTCAGACTCCTCATGGTTACTACCAGGACCAAACTTACACAAATGTGGCCAGCAGAAAACTCATTTTATGAAGTGATTTCAGAGGCATCCTTTCTCTTCACTCTGGTTGATTATCAAAATGCCACCACTAGCAGCCTTGCATTTTAGCTCAAGGTTTTCAACCCAGGTAGAAGTCAGATGTCCCAGGGAGAGAATGTACACATTAGGGTTAATGGGAAATATGAGCAGTTTTTATGTGTGACACTGGATAAGGGAAGGTAGAGGGCACTTTCCAAAGAGAAGGATGTGGGATGGACCTGAGAGTTTACAAACCACAGTTCACAATTGTGGCTGCACATATTTTGTTGAATACCACAGCACAGCAGTGAATGTGGGAAAAACTACTGAAAACTCTTAAGTAGCTATGAAAAAAAACTTAGCTATTCTAATCTCAGAGGCCAAATACTTGAATAGCCTTGGGACATTCTGAGTATAAGTGTGCTTTAGAATTTTGGGAAGTTTCAGCCAGTCTTTGTAAGTCCAGGGAGACAAACTGGGAAGACTCTCAGTATTTAGTTTTGACAAGATGAAACCATTCACAAAACCACAACATGAAGTATTTTAGTGGCTCTTACAGCACCCGACAACTGAAAGCTTTCTTAGCCAATTAACAAAAGGGTAGCCAGAAATATCAACAAGAAGTGTGTACTGAGAACAGAAGAATCGAGCCTTTTCACTTGCTGTTCTACAAGACAGGGATTTTCAATCAAATACCCTTCACATGATGAAAGAAAGAGAAAATAGTGGATCCAGCCAGAAAAAACTCCGTTAGAACTACCTGAGAGTGGGCTAGGAGGTGGGAAAGCACCTGCTGTTGGGTCCAATGTTGCCACCTTAAAAGAGCAACATGGACTTCCTCACGGTGACCACTATTTTCCTTGCTCACCAGAAAACACCAGTTTTACAAATAAACTCCCACTCTCAGTGTCTTATTACCACATAGATATCACACAATATATTACCTACGGAAGAATTTGCCATACCTTCCTGCTGATAGTAGTATTGCATTGGTAAGCCACCAAACTTAACACCACTACTAGTAACTCCTAGTTTCTAACAACAGTAATTGGGTATACATCCCTGTCAGATGGATGGTACTTACTATCACATTGCTTTACCTTGGAGGTGTTCTTTATGAAATAAGGACACTTGTAGAGGAGAGGGGTACATAAAAACTTTATAAAACAGGTCATTTTGCATCAAACAAAGGGAGCGATCAAACAAATGGCTCTTTCTCTTAAAAGAGCCATTTGTACAAAATTAAGGCTATTTTGGTATTGGTCATAATTACCTAATACCGATTTTGCTAGTCTTTGCTATAATTTTCACTTTCCAGGGACTGTTCAAGCCAAACGAAATCTGTGCTATTTGATTTACAAAGCCACATTCTTAGTTTCCAGGCTACTAATTTGGGGATTTCTGATGGTATTTTGAAACACTGTAAGAACAAGTCATATGAAGTCAGTTTCAATAAAACACAATGGAAGAAAATTCAGCTGAGGCATGAATCATTTCCTCTCAATTACAAAAGGACATCTCTATGGATCAACCTAAAAATTCTCAAGAACGAGGAAAAACAGGCTTAAAGGGTTTTACTATCTCAAAATCTTGAATACAATCTTTTTTCCTTAACTAAAATCCATGAGTTCATTTATTAAATGAAATCAACAAGGTAAAGAACTAAATGTCTGAACAATCGTGCTCTTATAATTCCTTAAAAAAGCTATTATTGGTTGAGATACAGCTCTCTGAACTGTGTTCCAGATCTTCAAGTAAGATTATTTTTCATCAAGTTCGCTACTATAATAGATGGCCTTTCACAAGGCACCACAGGCCTAACAGGGCCCATTCTAGAGCTGAGAAAGCTGAATGGCATACGTAGGAATAGGGTGGACAGCAAAGTAGGAAATAAGAAATGGGGAAGGAATATACAAAGCGGAAAGCACGTTTAAACTTTCAAAAGAGATATTTTTATTCTTTGAACTCCACTGTGAGACAAGAAAAATCATTAATGTATGGTATAACTCTCAGGAGACTTTTGATATATAACTGAATCAAAAAGAAAATTATTTTCTTGTAAATGATTTCCTCTAATTTTTAATCTATAGTTCCTTTAGAAACATTTTTACTAGGAGTGTTTTTCCTCCACTCTCTATTTTCTGGGCTTTGTGATTCATGATTTAGTAAAACAAAAATCTTATTACTATGAAAGGACATGAGGGCTGGTTTTCTTTCCTATGTATTTGATCTATCTTCTTTGACACTGGTACGATTAATGTTTTTGCATCTATGTTTCTACTCTCTGTCTTTTATTATACTCTCTGGATTGAAAAGTATTAAATATGGCAATAATATTACACAATCACATTATTTAATATTACAATTCTCATCTTTGACTACGAATTCAAATGTTTTAAGAAGACAAACTCTTACCTTTGAAGAAGCTCTTCTTATCTGAAGAAGTTGTTCTTCCTTTTAATTCTTCAAACCAAAGGTCTTCTTAGCATTGCTCTGTGGGTTAAAGTGTGGGGGAAATGTTAACAAGACATTGATTGTCATCAGTCACAGCAGACTGTCAATACATTAACTCCAACTGACTCCCTGATGGGAAATACAATTAAAGAGAGAGCCCTGCAAGGAAGACAAATTATGACTTGATTTGCCAAAACGTATCTCTGCTGGCTTCGATCAAAAGTGACAGCAGAGAAGTGACCAGAACTCTGGTGGACATCCCATTAAATGGATTCCAGTCTCGAGAGTCATGTCTGATTCCTCTTTACAGTTTACAGAAAGAAAGGGTTTTTTGTAATGTATCTATACAGTGTGGATAAAATACTTCTTTGCTATGGGCTTACTATTATTTAGATTTTTTATTTGGTAGCATAGGAATTTTTTAGGTTATGTTTGAAAGGCCCCAAGTTTTCAATGAGGGTCATAAAGAGAAGCTGGGAACAGCCAAGATCTGAGGGGCAAGTTCCACCTGGGCTGTGACAAAGGCTCAGTGGTGGACAGCTCCCAAGCTCTGCAATCTCCAACTCGCCTTCAGTCAGCCTCAGTGCTTCCTTTGCAAATACTCCAGCTGAGAATCAGCCAGAGAAAGAGAGGAGGGATGGGGAGTAAAACAATCACAGCTGAGCACATTGAGTTTCATTTTTTTAAACAACCAATTCAGTGACACCCAAGGTTTCTAAGGGAGGATTTGTGTCTTTTTGAACTTTGGATTTCTGGAAACAGAAGTCATACTATCAACCCCTGACAAACTCTTCAGAGAAGAGAAACAAGTGTCAATTCAGGAACTCTGGACTGCACTCAAATATTAAGACAACTATGAATTGCAAAATTATTCAGTTAATAAAATAAAAAGATGCTTAATAATCTCAGCTGTTTTTGCTTATTTATGCGTTATAAAATATTTCCTGCATTAAGTTGCAAAAAAAAAGTTGTAATTACATATAAAACCACCCTTAATAGATTTGCATTGCCTGTGGAGCAATGACATTTTATCTGGACAAAATATTAATATTGTGGAGGCTTGTGTTTTTTTCCTTGGAATTAGAACCAACTTTATAATAATATTCAGTTTTCACTTAAAAAAAAAACCCTAGAGTTTTGTAGGACAGCATCTATAAGAATTGGAAGAGATAACTACAATAATAACTCAATTCAGCAAACTTATATTGAGCACTTAATATGTGTCTGCCAATTCACTGGATAAATCTAAACAAGAAAAAAATAATAAAAGATAAATATTTCCTGCTTCCTACCATGAGGAATCTCAGTCCACATGCTGATGGATTCCTAAGTTTTAATCGTTTTTAGCATAATCCAATTCAGGGCAAAATGCTCTAAAAAGCACATATATATAAAATTTTGCATAACATGGTTCCATGGCATCATGTGGAAAAACTATTTCATCCTTGCTTATGTATATTATTGATAGGGCATTGCTACATTTTTAACTTCTTCGTGGTGATTTAAATCCTGAAGGCTTTGCAAAGACCACCAAAAGACTGTATTAATCATATTATCATGTCAGTGATTATGCTGAACATTTCTTGGAAATGACTTTTTGTTACATTCATTATTCTTGTTTTGACAAATGTGTCAATGGGCTTTCATCATCCCAAAACCCATTTAGGTCAAGAGAATAGGGTAATACATCATTGCTAGGGACTATTTTTCCAATAACCAAGTAACAATTTAATTTTTTAACCAAAATGCAATCAACTTATCCTATTAAATAAAACCAGTCCTAAGTCAAAAGGTCAAGATAAGATTTGATGCATTTTTAAAGCAGCCTTCAGAAAAGACAAATAACATCTATGTGAAAAATGTAAGAAACCCAAAGGCCACAGTACACATGACAAACCAATTACAATAATAGTCATTCAATAGCATATAACATTAAAAAGTCAATAATTCTGAAAAGTGAATACTTGCCTTAGCCACTCACAGAAAAATAAAATAATAAACTTCCTAATTGCTCCAAAGTAAATTGCTATGGATTAGGATACATTTTTTGCAAGACTTTTTTGGCAGAGAGAGGGTTATTTGGTTTTAAAATGAGAAACCATAACATTCAATACAACTGAAAATTTGCTACTACAAGCAGTATTAGGTAAAATGTATCAGCAAGCAAAAACTTGCAAAATCTCATTTGGCTTATATTTTCTGGTACAACTGTAAGGATGTTAGAAATGTCTACTCTTTGGTTCTTGTGAGGTTGATTTCTAAAAACTGGCCTCCTTAATAATACAGTAAAGGTTGGATTACATTAAAATATCAAGCCTTTTTGACCCCACCTCCAGTCAATTCTGTTTTCAATTATAACAATTATTTCCTGTTTACACTCTTCAAAATCAATACAGCTGAGAAATAGTTTTCAGAACATCATTTCTGAAAACTTTATATGCAAGAATATATTTATGTATCTGCACAAGTATGTATGTGTGCAACATGCAAAACTTTTTTGACTTTAATCACTATAAAATGACAGTAATTTATAAATTTATATTTAATCTTTGGTCTTAACAGGAATTTGACTAGTAGTAAAATCATACTAATCCCAAACTCTTTTTTTTTTTTTCCTTAATTTCCTGCCTTTGATAAGATCCTTGGACTGAATTTGGGTTCCATTCATACTTAACTGCAAGAATTTAAAAAACCACCTTGTTAAAACTGGCATTTATCTTTGGTTTCTCTAGGGTATGCCTGTCATCCAGCAGTTAATTCAGCTTGACATGGCCGGAAGCCAAAATCATCTTGAAACCCAGTTCTCCCATTACAGCAGCCTATGAAACAAAATACATTCCAAAAAGCAGAGAGTATGGTCTGAGATAAAGCAGGTTCTCCAACTACAGCTCCGCCAGATGGCACCCAGAGGGCCGTCTCTTGACGGCAACCTAGCTGGCTGGGTTCCTGGGAACACACGGCCCTGGCTTCTGGCTCCACATTTAGCACCAAGTTCAGCCTCCTGTGGCAAGACAAAACTTGTTGGGATTTCGGACTGACCCCATGTTATACACCTTGTAGAAGTTAGGAAAGAGCAAGAAGGGATCAATTCTAGCAAGCAACTTGTAGACCATACTTTACCTTTCAGAGAAATTAACACATTGGTCCTTGAAGACTGTAGACTGATCACTCACAGAAGCATCTGACTGTCTCAAGTGACACTATGATTTGCAATCTTGTAGACTGATGCAAACATCTAATAGTAAGCAAATTACACTGATAGAGGGCATGTTGGATATACACCACCTTACTGTCAGTGTGCTGGAAACCATGTTGTCATATATGTGATTGTAGACTTCCATGGCACATAGTTGCTATGGTTTGAATGTGCTTTACAAAATTCATATGAGAGCTGGGCATGGTGGCTCACACCTGTAATCCCAGCACTTTGGGAGGCCCCGGATCACGAGGTCAAGAGATTGAAACCATCCTGGCCAACATGCTGAAACCCTGTCTCTACTAAAAATACAAAAATTAGCTGGGTGTAGTGGCATGGGCCTGTAGTCCCAGCTACTCAGGAGGCTGAAGCAGGAGAACTGCTTGAACCCAGGAGGCGGAGGTTGCAGTGAGCCAAGGTCGCACCACTGCACTCCAGCCTGGTGCCTGTTGACAGAGCGAGACTCTGTCTCAAAAAAAAAAAAAAAATTCACATGAGAGCTTTACCCTCATGCATGGATTCACGTCAATATTGTGGGAGTTGGTTTGTTATTACAAGAGTGGATTTGTTATAAAACTGAGTTTTTTCCTCCTCCTCTTGCTTTCATGTACACTCTCTCTTGCTCTCTCTCATCTCTCTACCTTCTGCCATGGGATGATGTAGCAAGAAGGCCCTCACCAGATGCAGGTCCTTGACCTTGGACTTCTCTGCCTCCAAACCATGTGCCAAATGCATTTATTTTCTTTATGAATTACCTAGTCTATACTACTCTGTTGCACAAAACAGACTGAGACTTTAGTGCTTGGTATACCTCACGGTTTCATGAATGTATAAATAGAAACCTAGAAGTTCAGTGTGCAGTAATGGCTAGCTGTCTGACAAAAAGTCATGCCCCCTTCTGTCACATAAGGTGGCAGTGGGGAAGAAGCTCCTGTCCAGGGTCTACATTTCTAGCTTGCCTTGTGTCTAGGTATGACCGTAATATGTAAGAGAGCTAATATGTGTCACTTATTTGTTCAGACGTTTAAGAAGAAAATGTGTCTTTCCTACCCCTCCTATCTCTCCATTTCTGGCTGTAGGTCGATGCCAGTATAACCTGAGAAGTTGCAAGACATGGCCTTTGTCAGCTTGGGTCAAGAGTAGAGAGCCTTCCCTCCACATTCATGGTCTATCTTACTGACAGTGAACTGTTACATGAGCTGAGAGGGAACTCTAATTGTATGACATTTCCAGCTTGGGGGTTTGTTAAAATAGCTAGCTCTGCCCTATCTAATAGAGTCAGTATACTGTGAACATAACAGAAACCTTAAATGAAATCTTATCCTCACTGGTTCTTTTTCTATGTCTATAATCTAAGAGGAAGATTTAATTTTAAATATGAGTGTATTCAGAGCAGTAGAGCAAAACTGACTAAAGAGTATTAAATAAGTCCTTAATAGAAACAGTTAGAGTAACAATGTTGACTTCACCTAGGGAAGAAAAAGCTTAAAGGAGTCTAGTTAAACTGTCAATGAATATATGAATATTCTAAAAATTTTATATGGCAGATAGTGAGAAACTATTTTTCTAGTTCACTGAACATAAAACAAATACAGAAGGTCCTGTGTGATGGCTAAAAAGTAACAGCATATCTAAGAAAATGGGGAAGACTGAGGCCAGGTGCGGTGGTTCATGCCTGCCTGTAATCCCAGCACTTTGGGAGGCTGAGACAGGTGCATCATTTGAGGTCAGGAGTTTGAGATCAGCTATGGCAACATGGTGAAAGCCCGTCTCTACTAAAAATACAAAAATTAGCTGGGTGTGGTGGCAGGCACCTGCAGTCCTAGCTCCTAGGGAGGCTGAG